ATTTTTGAACTACAAGTATAAATATCTAATTATAATTAAATTTATATAATGAGTTTAATATATATATATATATATATATATATATTATATACATGTATATATCCACATATAATTAATATCCACGCTTTTTAGTGTATTCCACAGTATATAGAAGTCATCACTCATCTTTGAAACATGTTGCAAAAGAAAAGGCTAAAAGTATTATTTCTAAACACACAAAATTTCTAGGTGATGCTTCAAATTGAGTGAACATGGATCAAACACAATCGAGTTACGTTACAATCAATCGTTCAATTGGTTTAGTAATTAAATTTAACTTTAAATACTAATATCACAAACTACTCAATCAAATAGCTTTTTTCTTTAATTTGCTATCATTATTTCGTATAGGTCATAACTAACTAAATAATATTCTCCCAAATTTCCTTGCACAGATGCTGTCAATAATGTACGAAAAAAATCATTTCCAACATATACAAAAAAATTGACTAAGAAGAAGAAATATATTATATCAAGTGGTTTTTATTTTATTTTTTTACAATTAAAATGAGCGGCATTAAATAAATGGGGACTAATTGTGGTGTCGATTCTATTTAGACGTTAATACTGTTATCTTTTTTACAATTATCGCTACATAATTATAAATAAAATTTATAATAAAGAGGCTATTTTGTTATTACGACAGATGACGTTGAGTACTATCACAATGGTGCATCTACATCATGTGAAAATCCATTCTAAGTTACAAAATCCTATTATGAATAAAGTAAAATGTGCGATCTTATTTTTTTGTGAGTAATTTTATGTCTGAGTTTAAATGATTAACTGTGCAATACATGTAGACAATGTATCAGTTTTTTATTTAATTTCGATAGAAGCTGAATGTTTACTATTTTGTTAGTTGTACCGTGCAGAATGAAAAGAAGACATCAAGGAGTCATAAAACAATAGACTCTGTAACACGTGTGTTGGATATGAAATCAGTACCCGCTATATTGGTAGATGAGGACTTACAGACGGTAAGAGACATTTCTTCCGACAACGGAGGTAATTATCTTTGTCATTATATTATAACGTATCTCATTGTTATGCGTTATTGTCAGTATATTTTTCTACTATAATGATAATTTGTTGTTTTTAAATGTAAATTCTGAATATGTCTCCAACGATGAGAATAGTGACGATGTAGTTGACGATATTGGTAAATATTAATCTAATCTAACAACTTTTAATCTTTACATTATTAATTATATAAATTCATTGCATTAATTTTTTTTAATAACTAATCTTATTTAATTAATTTTAGATAGATTATGAAGATTTTGGAGACCATACGTATGAATGTCCGTTTTGCGGTGCAATGATGTGGTACGGTGAAAGAATTGACAAGCACATACAAACATCCAGGCCCAAATTTGGCCTATGTTGTATGTCCGGAAAAGTCCAGCTCCCAAAAATAAGAGATGCACCTCCTACACTTAACAATTTAGTGTTTGGAACTAATCGAAGGAACAAACATTTCCAAGAGCACGTACGATCGTATAATATGATGTTTTCTTTCACGCCGCTTGGTGTAAAAGTGCATACATCTATTAATAACGGATCTGGTCCACACACATTTCTATTACACGTCCAAAATTACCATCTACTGGGCAGTTTATTGCCGAAAGAAGACACTAGGCCTAACTTTGCTCAGCTTTACATTTTTGACACAAAAAATGAGATTCATAATAGAATTGATGCCGTCAGGTAAAATTTTGGGAATTATATTTCTGTTTCTAAAGAGTATAGAACTTACAAATTATAATTACATTTTTTTTGTTTGGCAGGTCCGGAAATCAATCTAATGATCTTGGCCCAGCCATCGTTGCATCGTTGAAAGATATGATTGATGGTAACAATGTACTTGCACAGTCGTACCGTGTTGTTCGAGATCGGTTTTCCAATTAGCCATCAAGGAATAAAACTTAGATTGGTAAAGAGTTGTAGTACTGATGGCAGGACGTACAATCTTCCTAACGCAAGTGAAATAGCAGGCTTGATCGTTGGGGACTTTGACACACAAGAGGGTGTTAGGGATATTGTAGTTGAGACATGCTCAAATAAGCTTCAACGAATCAGTGAGCTCCATCATCTTTACTTGCCTCTACAATATCCTCTTTTATTTCCTTACGGTGAAGATGGTTATCGAGACGATATCAGTTTGAGAGAATCTTCGCTTGCTGGTAATAGAAAATAGATGAAGGTAAGCATGCGAGAGTTCTGTGCATATCTAATCCAGAAACGGCGTGGATAACATTTGTTACTTTTGCATTCCAAGAAGTTATTTCAGCAGTTTTGTGGTGATGGATTTTCGATGGTAGAGTCACAGAGGTTGAATTTCATAAGGTTCAATTAGGATTAACTTAGGGTTGACATGTATAAGGGTATCGAAGAAAATATTTTTAAAGGAGATACTGAGGGTAAATCAGTTGGACAACGCATTATAATTCCAGGGTCGTTCACCGCAGGTCCAATGTATATGTTTGACAACTTCGTTGATGCTCTTCAAATATGTAACTGGATTGGATTTCCAACCCTCTTCGTCGCATCACATGCAATCCTCAATGGCCAGAAATACAAAGGGTGTTGAAAGATACAAATCTCAGGCCGGAGGATCGGCCAGACATTATTTGTCGTGTGTTCAAGATGAAGCTCGATAGTATGATGACAAAAATCAAGAAGAGTTGTATATTCGAACGTATTAGAGCATGTAAGTATTTAATAAGATCTCAGTTTATAATTATACATTTACTACATTCATATAAATTAAAGAATTTGCTCATGTGTGAGTTTAACTACTTATTGCTTCCTTAACTAAATTAATGCATATTTTTTTAATACCATATGTTTATATTTTCTATGCAGATGTATGCACAATTGAATTTCAGAAACGAGTTCTACCGCATGCACATATTTTATCGTGGTTGCATAATGACGATAAGCCTAAGAACCCAGAAGAAATTGACAGGATCACATGTGCTGAAAATCCTGACGAAGAAAACGACCGAAAGATGTACCAGTTGGTGGAGAAGTATATGATACATGAACCGTGCTATCAGTAGAATTTGAAATCTCCCTGTATGAAGGATTGAGTTTTCACGAAGCGATTTCCAAAGCCGTTTGTGCAGCGCACTGAATCAGATGCAGATGGTTTTACTGTGTACAAAATAATGGAAGATGGCAGAACAGTTACGAAGAAGAAGACTACTCTTGACAATGGGTTTGTAGTCCCGTACAATCGTATATTGTTGAGTAAATACCGATATCACATTAATATCGAGTTATGCAACCAGAACAAGTCAATCAAATACATGTTCAAATACGTAAACAAGGGGCATGACCGAGTTATGGCGACATTTTATGAAACACGCAATACAGATGGCGGTGCTGAGATTCGTGATGAGATAAAGATTTACTACGACTGCAGATATCTTTCGGCATGTGAGGCAATGTGGATGTTGTTTAATTTTGATATTCATTACAGAGACCCGTCAGTAATTAGGCTAAGCTTTCATCTCCCCGATCATCAGCCGCTTGTCTTCAATGTAAATCAGTCATTACAAAGTGTGCTGGATAGGCCACCTGCCAAGCAAATTATGTTCCTACCGTGGTTTGAGGCCAACAAGAACTATCGACATGCTAGGGACTTAAGGTACGGAGATTTTCCATAGCAATTTGTATATAAAGAAGATTCTCGAACTTGGGCGCCAAGGAAAAAATATTTTTCTATTGGTAGGCTTGCGAATATTCCCCCTGGAAAGGGGGAAGACTATTACCTTAGGTTGCTACTTAACATTCAGAGGGGATATACGTGCTACGCGGACATCAGAAAAGTTTTTGACACCGTCTACCCTACGTTCAGGGATGCATGTTATGTGTTTGGTTTGTTAGATGACGACAAAGAATACATAGATTCAATAATATAAGTGAATACTTGGGCACCGGGGGATTATATAAGAAGGTTATTTATAGTTATGCTTCTTTCCAATAGCTTAAGTCGGCCCGGACATGTTGACAAAGTTGTTGGTTGGATTTGGCGGAGGGTATTGCTTACAAACAAGAACGTCTTAATAATAATCCAGGTATGGCAATTTGTATAGCACAGTATTCAATTAGATTTTAAATATTACTCATTCTTTTAATAGTGTCTCTTTACGTTTTGAACTAAATGCACATAATTTATCCATTTTTTTTTGAAGATTTACATATATCGGATGAAAGGTTGAAGAACTATACTCTCACCGAAATAGGAAAAATATTGCAAAGCAATGGTAAAAGCCTGCGAAATTACGCGCCCATGCCAGTTCCAATCGAATTCTCAGCGGAGGATACAGTAAACATATTGGTGTTAGATGAACTGGATTACGACCGGTTTTAAATGGGTAGACAACTTCAACGGTGTCTTGCTTGAATTACAGACGAGCAAAGAAAGGTTTATGATGTAGTCATGGATGTTGTATCCAATGACCGTGGTGGAATGTTCTTTCTATATGGCCATGGTGGAATGGGAAAGACGTTTCTATGGTAAACTCTTTCGGCTGCAGTTCGTTCCAAGGGAGAGATTGTAATAACGTTGCATGAGTGGTATAGCATCGTTATTGCGCCCCGGTGGAAGCACAACTCATTCTCGATTCGGACTACCCATAAATGTACACGAGAGTTACGCCTGCAGCATATCGCAACAGAGTCCACAAACGGAGTTGCTCATAAGAGCAAAGCTTATTATATGGGACGAGGCTCCTATGATGCATAGATACTCTTTTGAAGCGCTTGACAAGACAATGAAGTCAATTTTACAGGTTGACAAACTCTTTGGTGGTAAGGTGGTTGTTCTTGGAGGAGATTTTAGGCAGATTTTACCAGTTGTGCTCAAAGCATCAAGGTAGGACATAGTACATGCTACGATAAACTCCTCTCCGCTGTGAAATTTCTGTCGTGTCATGAAGTTGACTAAGAACATGAGATTGCAGTCATGCTCTTCTCCATCTAACGTGGATGAGGTAAAAAAAATTGGAGACTGGATACTGAAGGATGGTAATGAGGATGATGGGAAACAAAACGATGGTGAAACTTCGATAGAGATTCCCGATGACGTGTTGATTGGTGATTAAGAAGATCCATTCAGAGACCTACGTGAATTCATTTACCCGAATTTGTTGAGTAACATGTATGATCCAGATTATTTTCAAGGGAGAGCAATTCTTGCACCAACTAATGAATGCGTCGAGTCTGTGAACGATCACTTAATGTCTCTCATTCCAGGAGAGGAGAAGGTGTACCTGAGCTCAGATAGTATGTGTAGGGACGAGCAAAAAATGGAGGATAATTCAGAAATTTATTCGACTGAATTCCTCAACACAATAAGATGCTCCGGACTTCGTTCTCATGCGTTGAAGTTCAAGGTTGGTGCACCCGTTATTCTAATAAGAAACATCGATCAAGCTAGAGGATTGTGTAACGGGACCAGATTTCAAATTATCAGAACTGGCATTCACGTTCTGAGTTGCAAAATTCTTTCCGGAAAAAATATCGGTGACATGGTGTTCATTCTTCGGATGACTTTAATACCATCTAACTCCGGACTGTCAATTAAATTTCAGAGAAGACAGTTTCCGTTGATTGTTTCTTTTGCAATGACAATCAATAAAAGCCAAGGTCAAACTCTTTCGCATGTTGGTTTGTATCTTCCTAGGCATGTCTTCAGCCATGATCAACTATATGTTGCACTATCCAGCGTTACGAGCAGAGGTGGCATTAAGATATTCATCAAATCGGATTCGGGTGAACTCACCAATGTTACTAGAAATGTCGTGTACAAGGAAGTACTTCATCGAATTTGAAGGTAGAAAATATTTTCATATTTACCAATTATTCATGTAACATGTCTTTTTTTTTAACAACTTATTCTTTGGCAGGTGTTTCTTCTCTATATAATTTCCCCCGTGCGATGTTATTTTCAGTCATGTCTCTAGGATGCTCAGTGCAAATCTTATTATCTTTAAGATTTATTTTTGACGACATACTAATATTTACTATTATTCTTATGATGTAACTATGAAGAACATGATACTTAAAACATATTTTTAATATTGTTGGTCGCATTTTGTATTTAAATTCAATGAGCGTAATAATTTATATATGCATAAATTTGTTTTCCAGACTTTGTATTTCCAGTTAAAAATATGCCGGCCTGTGCATCGCACGGGTGAATACTAGTTATTATAACAACAGTAATATTATCGTCAACCACAGTAATATTACAATAATAGACAGTAATATTATTACGTTACTCCGTGAATAACTCAAATAAAACAAAAAACCCAAAAAAATAATAATATTGATGTTGTTGACTGTAATATTATTGTGTTTACAGTTATTTTACTGTCAACGACAGTAATATAATTACGTTGACTTGTCAACAAATCAAACAAAATAAAAAAAACAACAAAAAATAAAAAAAATAATAATATTACATTAATTTACTGTCAACGGCAACATAATTACATAAATGTATTGTCAACTGCAGTACAATTACGTTAATTATTTGTCATTGATAGTATAATTACGTTAATTTACTGTCAGTGACAGCACAATTACGGTCAACGTTTAGCGGCGGACGCAAAAAAAAAAAAAAAAAACCCAAAAAAAAAAAAACTTAAAAAAACACTAAAAAATGTCAACGCCGGAGACCGCCGGAAACTGGCGAAAAAATCCGGAAGAAGAAAAAAGTTAAAAAAAAAAGTCAACGCTGGAAACCGGCGAAAAAATCCGAAAGAAAAAAAAACAAAAAAAAAACAAATTTTTTTTTGAAAAGTCAACGCTGGAATCCGGCGGTAAAAAAGTTTTTTTGAATTTTTTTTTGGGTCAATATTGAATAATTAGTGAAATTTGGGGTCAAATTGAGATTAAATTAAGTTAAGGATGAAATTGGAGCATATTAAAGGGTACTCCAAAAAAAGTCAAAATTGAATTTTTGTGGTCAAAATTGGATTTTTGTGGGCAAAATTGATTAAATTGGGGTTACAATTAAGAATTGGGTATACATGGTTGAGGATACATAAATGTTTCCTTTATTTATAATAAATATTAAAGGGATGGTCTTATTCGTGAAAGAGATATAGCCCATAAACCTAGAATAATAAAGATGCTTGGTTGGGGACTTGTGCACAAAAACCCCTAACCAAATATATAAAACCCTAGGGGATGTTTGGTTATGTTTCCAATGAGAATTTCTAGTTTTCAAAATTTATGATGGAAAAAGTAGATTATTGGTTTTTGTGTAGAAAATGAGAATATGTTTGGATTTTTTTCCAAAATTTTTTTTTTGCCGCTAGATTCCGGCGTTGACTTTCATATTTTTTTGATTCTTCCGGATTTTTTTTTCTTTAACATCTTTTTGCCTCCGTTTAAACAACAATATTGTTGTGGTTGACATTAATATTAACTATATTACTGTTAAACACAGTAATACTATAGTTTAACACTGTAATATTGCTATATCAATATCTAGATCTCTAGTACAGTAATATGAACACAACAAAAGCCATTATTATTGTGTAATAGAGTAATATTAATATGTTGACCGTTCAACAAAGGTAAACATAAAAAAAGGTCAAAATAATTAATATTGATGTGGTTGACTGTAATATTTTTATGATTACATTAATATTACAATAGTAGACAGTAATATTATTACGTTGATCCGTGCACAACTTAAACAAAACAGAAAACCCAAAAAAAAAAATATTGATGTGGTTGAGAGTAATATTATTGTGTTTATAGTTATTTTACTGTCAACGACAGTAATATAATTACGTTGACTTGTCAACAAATCAAACCAAAAAAAAAAATAAAAAAAATAATAATACTGTCGCTGACTGTAATTGTACTGTCAACGACAGTACAATTACGTTAATGTACTGTTGACAGTACAATTACGTTAATGTACTTTTAGTGACAATATAATTACTTTTAATGACAGTACAATTATGGTCAACGTTTAACGGCAATGGTAAAAAAATGGATAAAAAATTTAGGGAAAATAAAACACGCACACTAGAAAAAGTCAATGCCGGAGACCGACGGTCAATGCTTAAAACCGCCGGTGGAAAAAGCAGAGAAAAAAAAAATCGAAAAAGACAACGCTGGAAAGGGGTGGTGGAAAAAGCATACATAAGAAAAAAAATCGAAAAAGTCAACGCCGGAAACCGGCGGCAAAAAAATAATTTCAGGAAAAACAAAAGTTTTTAAAGAAAAAAGTCAAAATTGATTAAATTGGGGCTACAATTAAGAATTGGGTGTAAAAGATTGGGGTAATTTTGTCATATACATTATTTATTCCTTTATTCATAATACATAGTAAATGAATGGGCTTATTGGTGAAATAAATATAACTACTAAACCTAGAAAAATAAAGATAGTTGGTCAGGTACTTATGCAGAAAAGCACCAATTAAAAATTGCGACTTTTTCTAGTGGAATCCGGTTACAAGGATAAATCCAACATTTCGATCTTGTGACGGTGCACTTGCACTTGAGAAAACCGGTGTTTATGTATTTCTCTTAAAAAACTAATTTTACTTTCATCCGTAAATCAGAAAAGAAAAAAAATGAAAATATGAATACCAACTTTTATGATTCGACTTCAAATGTAACTTTACCAATTTTCAGTCTAAATTTGGCAAGTATCAAAACACAAAAACTAGTATTTTATCCACAAATTTTCAAAAAAATTTAAAATAGAATATAGTTTAGGCATCTTAATGAAATATAATAACTACAATTTTAGTATATATACAACAAGCAAAACCCACCTCCTTTTCTTATTATTAATGGATAACATTTACATTTCAAAAGGTGGAGACAATGAAATAGGGAAATTTCCATCAAGAACGACACACAATAGAAAACATATATCTGAACAAACTAGAAAACACAACATTTTTGTGTTCTCTTCAAAAACAACAATCATACTACATTCATATGTTATATATAGATATATCATCAATTAAGCCCATTTAGCCATGAGCGACATTCCACCGGCACCCAAGAGAACGGCTATATAAGACTTGATTTGGAGTTTGATACTTCCCTGCAATTTTGGCCCCATAAAATCAGCAGCCAATAGATCGACCAAAGCCATATAGATCAACAGCCCAGCAGATGATGCGTTCAGCAATCCAACGGTGATCAACGATCGAGGGCTGTTCTCCTTGTATGTGCTGGCCAATGCCAATCCCAATGCTATTCCAAATGGAGTTGTCACACTGAAGAAGAATGCCATTGCTGCCTTCTTTATGAACTTGTACTCCGCCTGGAGAATGCAGCCACCAAGTCCCATTCCTTCAAACATTTGATGGAAGCAGAGTGCAGCGATAAGTCCTTTGATCGAGCATGTGTTGTTAGACGCCCCAAGTGACAACCCAATCACTATTGAGTGTACTATTATTCCCAGCTCCAAAACCTGCAATATTTAATGCGTACTCTTAGTCAATTAATCAAAATGTTTATTATTATTATTACATTTTTATATCAATGTTCCCATTATTATCCTATATATGATCGAACTGTTTTTTAGTTAAAATATGATAATTAGCTAGTGAGATGTAATTTAGGCCACATATGCATATAAGATTATTATTCTAGTTAATTGACAACAAGTAGCTAGAGGTTAACATGAAAATGAAAACCATGATATATATGCAATAATATTGAAGACATAATATAAATTATGTAACATACTGCTCCATTTGTTGCAGGACTCAATAAGTAGTAATTTATATCATCATCATCATCATATATTTAACACAAACAGACAAACATTAGAAAATGACCATATATCATCTGATCTGATCTGATGATCCTTCTGCTTCCTATTAATTATTTCATGTGGAAACTGCACAACTACTGTGCGCATACTTTAATTTATTAGTCTTTAAATATATATATATATATATATATATATATATATATATATATATATATATAGGAAATCTGATTGTAAGTTGTAACATTCAATTCAATGACTCGAGATGCACAATTATATAATGTCTTCACTCATTCTGTACACACTTAATTATTTGGGTTGACTACATAAAACCCTTATTTAATTCATTTAAACACATGCATATATCCCATTATTAACGAAATATAAACTGAATTTTTATCTAGTTATCATTATTTTAAATTTGTTATTCAAGTACTAACCATCGCGATGACTCGGTAACGGAGAAGTTGTGCACCCTGTACTTCCAGCTTGGCTCCATGGTGGTGGCCGTGGAAATGAGAATAACCGCCGCCAGCTTCCACCACCGCCAGCTCCTCCGGTTCCCCGCCGGACTCCGGCTTGACACCTCCAGAATTGTGTTTCTTAGAGTAGACGCTTGTTGTCAAAGAGTCGATTATGAGAGTAATGATTGCGGAGAGCATAGCCACGAAGCCAGTGAAGGGGAATTTGTGCCACGGGTTTTCTTTCAAACAGGTGGAGGACAACATGTCGAAAGAATCGGGCAGCACGTGCATGAATCCAGTGGCTAGAATAATCCCGGCGGCGAATGCTTTGACTATGACGAAGAGGCTTCGCTCTGGGCTGAGAGCCGGAATTGATTGGGTGACAAGTGGCAAGCAGACTCCGATCATGCTGCTGATTAGGATTGTTATGATGGCGATTATTTTGAGCGGCAAAGCCGCCTTCTTGTTCGTGCAGCCGTCATCTTCTTCCGCCCCGCAATCCTCGACCACCGACAAAACTTGGACCGAAAAATTCGAAAGGAGGATGAAGAAGATGATTAAAATAGATTTCGAACAAGTCATCGTCAAATCTCAATAAATGATATATCTGTTGAACTGATGATCAAATCTGAATATGAATATAATTGATAAATTGAGTGTTGTGAGTAGTGTAGTGGTGATTATTTGAGTTGAAATTTATAGGAATGAATATATTGGTGGCCGGGAAAAATAAATTAACAGAGAAATATTTGAAGTGAGATGAGAATGGTGGCATGGAAGGGGCGTTGCGGCTAAATCAGGATTTGGTTATTAATTTATAATGCAAATGCGTGGATGCTTGTTTTGCATGAAATGGGGGCCGTGGTATGCGTACGGCTGGCACGTGCTCTGTTATTACGTGGCACTCTCATATTATACGTGGCCTTACACGACAATTTTTATTTTTTTGTTTCCTTCTTTTCCTGCCAACTAAAATTGACCCTATTTAAAACAGGATTTTTTTTTTTTATAAATAAATAGGAAGTTATCTTGTATTGAAACAAATCTGGAAATTTGTATGGGTGATCGAATCATCGAAGAATGAAATTTTGTTTATTTTATGGGTAAATTACAACCACCCCTGAGGTATGATCAATTTACGAAAAAATTCCTTTTGTTTGGATAATTACATCTACCCCTCAGCTATGATTTTTTCTTACACATCCATCCTTTGGTGTCAAATTCAACATAATCATCTAGATTTCGTGAAATGTGCTATAGTTTCTACTCGTTTTGTGTAAAAATACAGTTTCTGATGCACCACAATCTGATATATACAAGCTTAAAAACACATATTATGATAATCTTACTTCAAAATGTGGAGTTCGAATAGGATAAAACGGGTACAAAAGTGATAATAATCCGTATAATCTTGAAAATTCCACGAAATTTGAAACCGCAAGGATGGACGTGTAAAAAGCTTTTATAGTTGAGGGAGTGGTTGTAATTATCCAAACAAGATGAGTTTTTTTGTAATTTGACCATACCTCAGGGGTAATTGTAATTTACCCTTATTTTATTATGGGATGTTTAAGCATTACTACTTATTTATTGGTTTATGTTATTGTTTTACAAATAGTTGAACACACTTAAAAGTGTGCGGTCGCGCACCCCTTTACTCACTTTTTATATTCAGTTAAATTTGTTATTAATTTATGTATATAATTATAGATATCATCTATGAAATTTTTATTAAATGAAACGTCAAAATCACGAATATAGATTTTGAAGTTTGCAGGGTCCAAAATGAAGATAACTTTCAACTTGGGCAATCGAAGAAAAAAATAGTAACTATTATAAGTCTTTAGATAAGAGGACAGAAATAAGTAATCCCTTGCCAATTAAATTTTGATAATATAGTATAGTATTATTTTATAATTAAAAACTCAAATTAATAAACAATTGAATTTTTGTGAACATAAAAAGAAAAAGAGAAAGGCGAATGAATGGCAGTAGTCATGCCGCTCAAGAGTCAACTCGTGAGATGGGATATTCCAATCATTTAAGGAATTTTAACTTTTCCAAGTTTGTTGAAAATAAAATATTATCCAATTATAATATTGCGGTTTAGCTACGTAATTAAAACAATATTTATTCATTCCGTTGCTCTTGATATATATTCGTTACTAGAGATTAGTGATTTTCTCCTGCACATAATTTTATGTGCTAATATTCATATTTAAGATTAAATTAAATCTCTTCGGAGTTGCACGTTGGCCACATACATGTATACCAACTTGAATTTGTTTGTGCCTATCGATAAAATTATTTTTAGTATGAATTAATTACGACAGCGTGTTAATTTGTTTTCATTAATTTGTTGTCGATTGTATGGTCTTTATTTGACTCTTTCTTATTGATATATATAGTCACTTTTGGATTGTAGTATGAAATATTTAACTTGAATTTAAATATTATATAGGTTCGAGGTCTGCCTATCTTCCGTCGGGTGGATATTTCATATTTGTATTTAAAAAATAATTATATCTAAAATGATTATTTTATATAATAAGTTAATATCCATGAATAATAATATTTATAAGGAATCTAAATTAGAGACGGTCACGCCATATATAACCGATTAGATTACGAGAAATAGAAAGCTGAACTTATAAGCTTTTATGATAAAATGATATTAAGGACTTGATTGAAAATATTAACGCACGATTAAAATTTCGGTATACCTATTTTTTTTCTCCATAATCATGAAAAGGTAAATTTACATTTCCAAAAAGTGGAAACAATGAAATGTAGGGAATATTAATAAAGAATAACATCACACGAAGCACATAAATGTGAATGAAACAAAGTAGCAAAACACATAAAATCGTCAATTAAGCCACGAGTGACATTCCACCGGCACCGAGTAGAACATCTATACAAGACTTGATTTGGAGTTTGATACTTCCCTGCAATTTTTGCCCCATAAAATCAGCAACCAATAGATCCACCAAAGCCATATAGATCAACAACCGTGCAGATGATGCGTTCAATCCAACGGTGATCAACGATCAAGGGCTGTTCTCCTTGTATGTGCTGGCCAATGCCAATGCAAATCCCAATGCTATTTAGTCTTTTTTGCTCCTTTTTTACATATAAAAATATGCAGTATATTAATTTTTGGGAAGATTTTGGTAAAAAAATTTGGATATTTTGGGCCAATTAAACACGTCGGATTGAATAAAAAATAAAGAAATTGGTGGGATTGAGGTTGTTGGACGGTGGTTTTGTGGTGGGTTGATGGACACTGGTTTCTTTGGGTGGGGTGGTGACGATGTTTTCAATTGTTTTCAATTTTCTTCAAACTGCTGCAAGACTAGGTGTTAGCAGAATGTGGGCATAGCCGGTAATTTCATAAAACAGAATGAGGTGGGTGGGATTTGTGGCTTGTGTTTAGGAATTTTTATATTTGCTAATGTTGTATTTTCATGAGCATGGTACCAATTAGGATTTGTTCATGGTTATTTCAACACACCATGTGAATCCATTTTGTTTTGGTTGTTTGTTTCAATAGTGCAGTTGTTTTGCTACTTTTATAATTGTTTTTGCTATTTTTGTAGGATTAGATTACTAGGGGCAAGGAAAAAGAGACATTGTATAGCAGTTTTTCGCTGGAATTGAGATGTTTGTTTATAGTTGATTTCAATAATTTCTAGTTCGTTTCGATAATTATAGTTGGTTTCGACAATTTTGTAACTGATTTCGATATGATTGAGCTGTTGGAGTTAACTATTTCTGATAAAAAAAGGGGAGATGATTATCGTGCGTCAGTGGGTGCAGAAGTCGAGGCTGAAACTTCCTACCATGCATGCTGATCCCGGGGGGAGCTACTGCTGATGATTAAGACATCTCTGAGTACATGAGTGAGGATGGTGATGAAGATGAAGATGAAGAAGATGGTGATAGAACTGGTTCCAACAATGGTTCCAGTGCTGAGATTTAAAAGTTCTCTTGTTTTCTTGTAACAATGTCTTATTTGTCTATTATTTTGAATTTCTTTCGGAGCAATTTTGTTTAGTGCATTTTTACTACACTTATTTTTTTGCTGAACTCCAACTTTTTTTGCAATACATGCTTTTTGTAAAATTATTTCATATCTTATATGCTCTAATATTGAGGGGAAGTTCAAATTATTTTTGCAGGTGGGACAATGTTTTTTTTTGGCCAAAAATATTTTATTATTCCATCAAATATAGGTGAGGGGGCCTCGTTAAAACCTTGTGGACCTAACATAAGGAAAAAAAGTACCCCTACAATGGTAATAAAAAATCAGAGTCTAATCTATATAGACTATTACAATGCAGCCCCAAAATGGGGTAAAAAATTGAAGGAAAAGAACCTACGAGTCCTAATTCTAGAAACCCAATAAAAGTTTGAAATATTGTTGGCAGCCCCCCAGATCGAGGTCAATCTGTAATTAATCCAGATTAGCTGACCTGGCCAAAGCACCCCTCTCAGCACTTCTGAAAATTGCGAAACAGCCCCAGAAAGGGCCAGAATGAAAATAAGTTCATTATGCTGAACCCCATCCGCCGAAACACATCAAATGCGATAATTCGCTATGCCCAATTTTTCACTGATATAGGCAGCCCTCACCTCCGGAGGTAAGTTAGAGGCAACAAAAACTCTTGACTTGATTTGTGAGTATACGCCCATTTTGCAAGACAATCAGCAACGATGATTTTTTTACGAAATATATGCTGAAAAAGAACATAGTATCGACTTCCTGCATGGAAAGTCGATGAACGTATTCAAGATCCCAGGCAACCTTATTGGTCCCAATGGAGTTAATGGCCAACAATGAGTCAGATTCAACTGTTGGTGGAACTACCTACATGCAAGTGCACGTATCGTATTAATATAATGGGTTTTAAGTTCAAGTATGGTAATGCCCAATCATCCATACATGGCCAATAATAAGCATATTGCATCAATGCATATAGTTATAATTCATTATTCATGATGCATGATCACGACTACTTGCTACACGTGTGCCTTAATTGCGTTTTAATACGTGATCGAATACTTTTCTTAAAATGTGCTAATACATGATACATGTTATTGAACTTCTACTTTATGATTTAACGTGAAATTAAGTGATTTATTGTAGTGAGAAGCTCAGTTCCTCGGTTAAGAAGGGATCAATGTGCTAACGGTGATATAGATTGTCTTAATTGTATTTCTGCATTTTAATTACATTTTTAATATGATTAATTACATATGTAATTACTTGAAGTAACTCATATTAGACTAAAACCAGAAGTATGCAAAAGGGTGCAATTTGATTGGTTGGTTGACTAGGTTGCACAAGATCATTCTCAAATTATTTACACTTGATTATAATGAGTAAGCATCAGCCCATATCTTATCTCAAGCTAGAAAAACGTGGAGGAACCACAAGAATCCAGCAAATATAAGGCTTCCAATCATCATCCTCCATTTGGCCTTGTTGGGAATGGGTAGATAAGTGAAGACTTTGTGTTTTGGTCTTCATTTCACTTGTCTTCTTCCAAAAAACGACCAGACCTATTTCTTTAAGCTTATCTTCAGATTTCTTCACTTCCATACTCACATAAGAGAACATTAAACATAAGAACTCACAAAAGTAGAGGTAGAACAAGTTTTGCACCTTTTCTAGCTGAAAATCCTATGTTTTGAAGTTTGAATTCATCTCTAATCAAGGCTTCTAGCACACCTTATCTAAGCTTGCTGATCCTTTCACTTCATAAACCATATTGATTTTGAGGTAAGTTGAAGCTTTCATTTGCTCATCATAAGAACCTAATTATGTTTGCTTTAATGTGACTTTTGCTATGTGTTCTTCATGATGTTTGAATGATTGATGATTCATAGTGATATGAAAGAATATGTTTTGAAAATAGGAGTATGGTACTTGATTGATGGTCGAGTAGGCAAGGGACGCGGGAGGAACCGGCGGACTCAACACATGGTGGCAAATACCTGAGGTCGAAAGACCAGTATGGAAAACCCACAATTAAGAAATGAAATACGGCTAATACCTGAGGTCGAAAGGCCGGTATGGAAACACCCGTATTATCTATTGGCCAAATATGATGAACAGGTTCCGAAAACCAAAGCCTATTGCTATCAGTCAAGTACCACACTTCAAGGGTACCCGAAAAAGAGAAGGATTTCAAAGAAAAGGATCAGGAATGAAGTTAGATGTGATATTGTACATATTGAATGAATAATGTGTTATGTGATATATTGCTATTACATCAGTTTCAACTTGCTGAGCCATTAGCTCATTAGGTTCTTATGATGCAGGTAATGATGTACATGTTTAGAAGTTGACCTAGCCAAGAGCGGCCAGTCACATATTTGTTCATATGCCATGCTTCGAGCCATTTTGTAGCCGAGCTAGAAACTCTGATTTCATTTTGTTAGCCGCTCTATTATGGTTTTTGTACAATGTAATTTTGTAAACAATAAATATTTAAAATATATATATGTACAGACTTAGAGAAAGTACTAAGTTTGATTTCTTTTCAAAGCATATAACGTATTTTTGTATTAAAACCATAATGTTTAAGTATATATATAAAAAGGTTAGCATCCCTAACTTAATGGTGGTGATCCGATTGGATTCAGCTGTTAGGTTGTGGGGCATTGCAAGTATCGATCCCACGAGGAATATTAAACTATGTAATTCTAAGGGCTAGATTATCCCAACTACGTTCAAGCTAGTAGAATTTAGAGAAGATTAACTAAATTAAACTAAAATATAAAATACAAATAAAAAGCAAGCAAAAATAAGTAAGTTAACTGTCATGACACTTCTAGAAAACTCCTTGAAATTCGAAGATAGTTAATTGCTTACCATTGCCAAGAACCAAAAATCATGTTATCGCTTCAAGCATCCAATATTTGTAGTCTAAAAATAGAGAAAATTTATACTTACATAATAGTATTCGACTCCAAAGACTCACCGAATTTCTCTACTTTGCTAATATCGAATAATTGAACTATTGGGATCATTGGAACTTTTTGGATATCAATTGTTGGGCTCTTTGGCGCAAGGTAGGAAATAAGGGTATATAAGTCCTACTCTTCTCTTTTCGATCTTTTCATTGTTGAATAAATAGTTGCACTAAGCAAGATGCTTATATTTTGTTTTTCTTGAATCGAGGTGTTTTCGCCGAGATTTGGATATTAGGCTTTTTGAATTATCATTTCACCTCTAAGGGCATCTCCTGTCGAGAGGGGGCGGCTCCCCCCGACCCCTC